CCTCAAGTTTCATTACTTCGGCTATTGACCTACCATCCGTACCTAGCACCCGTTTCCTAACAACAGCATTGCTTAATCGGCTCTTCCATAATACACGAACAATGCTTCCGAGACACCTATGATCGAAAACCAGCAACCTACGACTATCTTCTACACTGAACGGCCATGTTTCACAGCCATAAAGTACGACGGAGAGAACTACTGCGCAATAGACTCGACGTTTGGTTAGCAAATGGATATCTCGCCTGCGCCATAAGTGACACATGTTGGCAAAAGCCAATCGAGCGTTCTGTATCCGAGCTGAGATTTCATCGGTCATCAGGCCATCGGCACTGATGCGATTCCCGAGATAAGTGAAGTGATTAACACCTTCAACTGAATAACGTTTCGTGAGTTCATACCGTTTGCTTCAATGGCGCGAGGTGATAAATGATCGAAGAACGAGTTGGTAGAGGAGATAAGAGAGTGTTATTAGGAGGTGTAGAAAGGATTTGATTGTGACCAATTTGGTCTTGTGTGCTTTTCTGGGTATGAAGGCGGATGTAACTTCCTGGCTGCCCTGGTTGTCAGAAGGGGCGCTGGCAACAATAGAGCTTATAAATGATAAATGAACAGTTTTGTTACAAGTCCATTAACAAATTGTGGACCTAAATAATTATTGTATCCTTTTGAATGATCCACACTATCTACAATAGATAGAATTCACTATTTACATATTATAGATAATGTAATTGAGAAATTTGTAAATTTATTGCACCAATTATAAATAAGCAGGACTACTTCTACACTGTGTCATGTATGTATCAATACCAAGATCTGACTTGATTATTCTAAAGAACATTAAGTAGATTATTAATGATAGAAATAACGATGTACTTGTAATGCATCCGAATGAGTAAAAAACAAATTTTCTAACGTTTTGTGACTAATTATAGGCCACCAACTTCCAATAATCTTGTATTTCTGATTTGCAGTCATCGCGATAAATTCAAATAATAATGCTTATTCTAAACAAAAAATGCTTAGAAATAGTAGTTTCTCAGAATCTCTAAAAGTACTCTTAAATACAACTTCTTTTACCTTCGATGGAACATTACACAAACAGTGTTGATTAGATCCCACGTGTTTCTAAAAGTAGCCAACCGATCTGTGTTGCATATAGAATATAATATTTTTGCCAATGAGATTAGAGCACCAATTTGGGAAAAACTTGCACATGACACATTCTTTATCATCAAGAGGACACTCAGATCATTTTTTGAAAGTCAGTCATAGAGCATAGAGACGCAAATGTCAAATCAAACCCCATAGTGATAAAGATAGTAGAAGCATTAATTGTAATGAAGAAGACTAGGGTTCGAAGATGTTATTCAAGAAGTATGATTCAGTGGGATAAGGTTAGAAAGACAAAGGTAGTGGTGCTGACGATTCCAGAAGATTAGGATTTGTGAGAGCACAGCGAATGGATGCACTTGCGTCATTGCAAAAGATTTTGAGCCATGTCGTCCAAGGTCTCTAACCATAGGTGACTTTCGTCTCGCGGACCCCAACCAGATAGTCTACATCTACAAACATGAATCAGTCCACTTGTCAGTGACTTCATGGATTTCTGCCATGTTTTGGTTTGGCCGGCCCTAGCTTTCTTCCAACCCACTCCTACACCACAAAACATCGCTTGTCGAGGCAGTCGGTGGTTAGCCATACGTAACACATGTCCCAACCACCTCAACTGATGAAGTTTCACTACTTCATCGATTGATCTGCCATCCTTATCTAGTACTCTTTAACATCTGTGATCGAATAATAGTAACCTACGAATATCTTCTACTCTTAATGGCCATGTTTCGCATCCGTATAGGAGAATGGAGCGAACTGCTGCGCAGTACACCCGTCCTTTGTTCAGCGAACGGGTATCACGCCTACGCCATAAGTGACGTAGGTTGACAAAAGCAAATCGAGCGTTCTGTATCCGAGCTGAGATTTCGTCAGTCACCAGTCCTTCGGCACTGATGAGACTCCTCAGGTAAGTGAAGTGATCAACACGTTCGACTACTTCGCTCCCTATCACTAGTTCAGGTGCCGATGCAACCCAGTCTTGAATCAACATTTTGCATTTCGAGGGTGAGAACCACATCCCGAACGTGCTTGCATTGTTGCTTGTGGTAGTCAGAAGACTCTGTATTTGTCAGCGTCTTCACCTAATTGAACTATGTCATCGACATATTCTAGATCAATAAGCGACTTTCCTGGTAGAAGGTCAACGCCTGAAAAATCTGACGAGCTTAATGTTAACTCCAAGAGGATGTCTATGACAGAGTTAAACAAGAATGGAGAGAGTGGACAGCCCTGACGCACACCACTTGAAGTAAAGAATTCCGGTGACAGTTCGCCATAATCTCTCACTCGACCAGTAGTGTTCGCGTAGAGGGCTTGTAGAAGGTTAATACACTTCTTTGGTACACCTTTTAGTGACAGACACTGCCACAGAACCTAACAATCCACTGGGTCAAAGCAGCTTTTAGGTCCGGGAACAAGACAATTGTCGGACGTCTAAATGTGTGTGTGTTCCAGGACTTGTCGTAGTGTGAAGATGTGGTCTATACCACCACGTCCAGGTCGAAAACCAGACTGGTTTTCTGGAGTCTGCCCTTCACGAGCTCTAGTTAGACGTCTAAGTATAATCGAGGCTAACAATTTAGAAACGATATTAGCTAAACTTATTCCCTTGTGATTGTCACAAGAGGACTTTTGTCCTTTCTTGTTGATTTGGACAATTAGAGACTGAGATCAGTCAGATGGGATTACGTCCATTTCCCAGATTCTACCTAGGATCTCAGTCAACCTAGCAGATAAAACCGGACCATCACTCTATCAGGACCTGCTTCTCTACCTCGCTTCAGATTTTCTATAGCTTTCTCAACTTCATGTAGACTGGGGGACTTAAATCAATTTGCCATTCAGGATGACTGGGGATCGTGTGCAATTAAAGTGTGGCTGAAGACCAGTTGAACTGATCCCTAAAGTTTTCTGCCCATCGATCCAGTCTCCTGGATTGAGAATGGATCACTTGCATGGTTGCCTAACTGTTTTTCTAGTTCCCCTTGAAATATTTTCTTAGCCTGATTATCATCGAGTAAAGCCCCAAGAGGCTTCCTAACGGTGTCTTTCCTACGCCCAGTAAGCCTCAAACAAATACGAGCTCGCACTGAATCTAAACATCTGCTCCAGAACAAGCGACAGTCCTCTATGGAACCCCTCCTTTGGTGATTGATGGTGATATGATCTAGTTGCTTCCAAAGTTGAGACGATTTCGGGGGTCGCCAGGTCAAAATATGTTTTTCCTCATGCTTAAAATTAGTGTTTGCTAGAAATAGTTGGTTATCTGAGAACACTTGCAACAGACGGTCGCTATTGTCTGTTCTTTGAGCCGCGACACTATAACATCTACTAAGGTGTCCCTCCTGCTCACTTAGTCTACCTATTTGAGCATTGAAGTCACCAGCCATTATAACTATATCACAGCGCTTAACTTTTTGGAGGAGGTCCGCAAGCTTTCTGTAAAACTCATCTTTTACATCGTCTGAACTGCAGTCAGTGGGGGTGTAGGCTGATATGACGAAGAGGCAACGAGGACTGTACCGATCCTTCCGAATCCTTACTGTCCCGTTCAGTCGGACAGCGAGCAAGCGACACAATGTCCGTACAATAAATGCTCCAGCATTTAGTTTAGAGCGGGGCTTCAAGAGACCAGGAATAACGTTTCGAGGACTCGAATCGTTTGTAGCGGAGGTGCAGGGAGATCAAGCAGTATGAGTAGAGTTAGTCGTGGAGATAAGAGAGATAATAAGGGTGTATGAAGTATTTGATTGTGACCAATTAAGTCAGTAACCCTCGCGTCA